GACGAGGACGAGGACGAGGACGAGGATGAGGACGAGGACGAGGACGACGACGACTACTAAAGTCGACAACAGAAACTACCATGCAGGATCGTCAGTTGCTAGGCTAGAAACGAAGAACAGTTTTTTTTACAATCGGAGAGAATGTTCCGTGACGTGAATGCGATTCTCGAGTCGATTTTTGTAGCAAATCTTACACAGCAGAGTAGAGGCACGAGCTGAGAAAAACTCAGATAGAGAGAGAAAGAGAGATAGAGAGAGAGAGACTCGAGTAGAGTATTTTTAATTACGCTGCATGGAGCGAGATAGAAAGCAAAGACTGACGAGGGATAGATTGAACGTCCACGTAGAGGGGTGGGGGGAGAAAAGAAAAGAAAAAAAAAGGAACAAAATCGACAGAGAGAAACAGATCGAGTTAACAACAACAAGTGAGAAGAAGAAGGTAATCGTTACGGACTTTTACTTGGCCGTCCTGGCTACGAGGACGACGCGGAGGTCCGCCACCTCTTCCCCCGCGGAAATTACGGCGGAAGTAACGGCGAGATGGCCCTCCGCGTCCGCGGCCACCGCCGCGTGGTACACCGCCGTCGCCGATCTCGCCACCTTGTTCGCCACTCTCGCCGGAGTTGTCGCCTTGTTGTTGCGCCGACGGGCCGGAACGGCGCGAGCCGCGATAGTAGCCGTCGTATTGTCGTCGAACTCTGTAACGTCGCTGCTGTCCGCCTCCCTCGCCGGTGTTCCCTTCGTCTCCGGTCTTACCCTCGCCTGTGAAATTTACCGGCAAATAAAAAACGCTCGTCAGTATATATATATATATATATATATATCATCTTTTATTCTTCGGATCGACGAATAATGCAAAATGATTTTTCTCTCTCTGTATTTCTCTCACCGGTTTCGTAACCGTCCTGACCTTCCCGAGGTCTACGTTGAGTTCGAGTGTTCCCACGTCTTTGACTGATGTACCAATGACCTCCGCGGTATCCGCGTCGCTTATCGGCAGCATAAGGCGAACCTTTTACTGCTTCCCCGGATGGACCGGTAACGTTGGCCGCTTCATGACCCTTCTCGCCTATTACTACGTCAAATTCGACTACCTCGCCGTCACCGACACTGCGCACAGCCTTCCTTGGATTGTTCTTGACGATGGCTGACTGTGGAGACGTGCAGGAATTATTATCACCGTGATCAACAATAATTCTATTCGCATATGCCGATACGTCTCTTCAATCAGAGTTTTAAATCCGCGCTACTTACTTGATGGACAAATACATCCTCCTTGGTGTCGTTCCTGAAACAGATCGAACCGAGTCGTTGAATGAAATGAGTCGTTCAAACGAAAGAAGGCATAAAAAAAAGAAGCGGAGACGAGATATCAGAATTTGCAATTGGATAGAAATTTCTTGTGCGTCTGAGAACATGGATCGAGCGACAAGTATCTCCGTCTGCGATCCAATGAGTGTACAGACACGATTTCCTCTACCACCGTGGAAACGGTACCATTGAATCGGCAGGAACGGCACGAGCAACGGTGCGAATGAACGGTGGCGATTTGCTCGAACTCGCGAAATTTCCTCCAAAATCGTTGGGACCGCAGTTTTAGTGCCACGCAGCCACTAGAAATAGCGGCCACTTAAACCACGTGTATAAATAGGCACGGATAGTTTTTACTTTATCTGCTTTCATCTCGACATACTCTCACGTAGTTATATATGTGAAGAAAGCGCCATCGCGTCGAAATGTATCAATTTATAATTCTCGATATTTATAACATTATTTGAAACATACTCGAGACGTTTGCTCGTTACGTTGCTTGGCATTTTTCACATCGAGGAAGCACTAGCTATGCGCCAAGCCGACACGACTTTTTAAACAGCCCGCCGCACTAGAACGGTTAAGGCGGGAAAAATTGAATCGAGGAAACGGGCAACGTAACGAAAATCCGTAATGTCGTGCTTTGCTGCTGCTTTGGCTACTATCCAAACGTATAGCGCATCCGTTATACCTGTATGCATGCATGCATGCATGCATGCATGCACGTATGTATGTATATATGTATGTAAATCACGGTATGTATATAGTACGGTGCGAAGAAGGATGAAAAGGAACTAGTAGAGAAAAAGCATGGGGAGGGGTAGGAGGATGGCCCGAGGTGGGGAAGCGGATAGGAGAATCCGCTAGAAATAGCGAAAGATAAAGAACCGCGGACGGACGGACGTAATTGGCTGAACGACGTACTCGAAACGAGCCGGAGACGCGAGTGAATCAACGCTGGAGAAGCTCTCTCATTTGCACCGAGTTCCAAGTTCCTCCGAAATCCCGGATTCGACGGGAGGGGAGAGGAGAAAAGGACGGAAGAAAAACTTGGGTAGATCGTTACTAACCTGTTGATGAATCCGTACCCGCTCTTCACGTTGAACCACTTTACAGTCCCGGTCACTTTGTTAGCTGAAACCCAAGAAAAACGAGAAATGACGTTAATTGAATATCTGGCGCGTAACCTTGCGTCGCGTTACTCGACAGACGCGCTTCCTTCAAACTCGGATACGCGCAAATTTAAATATCGATAAGTTAACGATAACCATAGTGTCAACGTCGGAAATAAATGTTGTTCGTTTCAAATAAATAACCGATTAAATAATATTTGATTGCGAGAGAAAAGCAGCCGCGTGGTTACACTTCCATCCTCTTTGTAATCAAAGACAAGTCGGTTGAGGCGTAATTCCGTGTTTACATGGCGAACGGTCCGTGTCACTGATCGTTCGCAGCGGTTATGGGTAAACAGTAAGCGGAAATTTTCAAATTTCGTTTTGGTTGGCAACCGCTTGTGCGCGTCAAACGTTCCACGATTTTTCCCCTTGAATCCGACCAACAAACAGACACTAGGAACAATGATCACACATTGAAACACACATGTATTTCCATTCTTTTTCTCGAATCCTGAAAATACAGTTTTTTTTTTTTTTCTTTTTTTTTCTTCCCGTTTATTTCTCGCCCGAGGAGAAAAAATTGCCGCAAAGTCGACCTAAAGTGGAAGCGGACGATGGCAGCGCGCACGGTTCTCACCGAAAACGAATCGTTCGAACGGAAGCGAACGTTCAGCGAACAAATCCGAAACTTACATAACGAAAATTAGTATATATTTGGTACAATTAACGAAGAGACACGCTTAGAAACGTAAACGGGTGGAAAAAGGACAGAGAAATTTCTAGAAACCACTAGGGCATGTAACCATGATGTAACTATGATGTAATCACTAGATTTTAGATTATATATTTTATCTATATATATATATACATATAATTTTTTTTTTTATCTGTTCGATACGTGAATTAAGGTTATCGTGTACGAACAAAACAAAAAATGCAAAGTGAAACAAAGAGGAGTAGAGTAGAGTAGAGTAGAGTAGAGTAGAATAGAGTAGAATAGAGTAGAGTAGAGTAGAGTAGAGTAGAGTAGAGTAGAGTAAAGTAAAGTAAAGTAAAGTAAAGTAAAGTAAATGAAATGAAATGAAATGAAATGAAATGAAATGAAACAAAGAGAGAAGGGAACAAGGCAAGAAAGAAAGAAAAGAGAGACATTAAACATCGTGGCGCGTAGTCCTAAAGCGTTTGTTTGCTCGTCCTAATGTACGCGTCACTCCGTTTTCTCTCGTTCTTTTTCTCTATAGAAAGCGAAACGAAATTTCGTAAAACGAAACGGGGTGTCCAACAAGAGCGTGTGCCGAGCTATTTCACTTGGAAAAAAAGGAAGACGAAAGGGGAGAAAAGAAAGAGGCGAGTAAAGAGGGAGGAAAAGAGAGAAACGCAGGAAGAGAGAGAGAGAGAGTGTGTGTGTGTGTGTGAGAGAGAGAGAGAGAGAATGAGAAAGAAATGAAAAAGAGGGAAGAAAAAAAGAAAAGAAGAAAAAAGAGAAAGGAAAGAAAAAGGTATATTGGAAATTGGATGATTTGCCACGACATTGGGGAAAATACGGACAAGAGGGAGGAGATTGGAGCCGGCTTGCCGAGCACATGCCACCACATGGTTCAACGTCTGCTGCTTGCCTAGACGCCATTACATGCGGGCGATCGTGGCGAATAACGAGCACGTTCTCGTTCCGGTCGATCCTTCCACCGGCAGATTGAACGCGACGCGATATTTCGAGTATAAATGCACCGATGATTCGCTTACCGATGATCAGCTTCTGCTGGCCAGCCTTTGGTTGTTCGGGCTGTTTTTCCGGGTCAGCCATGGTGGTGGTGTAAGGTGTTAAGACACGCCGCTGCCGAACCTAGATGTTCCCGTCTTGCTGGTTGTAGTGTTGGTTCCCTTCTAATGTTCCCAACATGGCTGCGCCTCCAGGCGACCGTACAAACATCCTTCCCGTCTAACGAGCTCTACGATAGGTTGGCTCGCAAACAAACCCGCTCGCCCGACCAATCCTGGCTAGAGTTTCACGGAACGCGCATGACGTAACTCACGCGTTACTTCCTCGCTTTCTTTCTCGCTCGCTCGCACCTCTACCGCCCTCATTCCCTCTTTCGGCAACCCGCGCGCGCCTTTTCTCATGCACTCGATCTTCTCTACCGGTTACCAACCGTCCTACCTTATCCCAACGCATCAACCCAACCTGCCACACTATTCTCCGTCCTTTCTTCCAATTTCTATATATATATATCTCTCTCTCTCTCTCCATTTTTTTATTTCATTCAGTAAGTAATCAATTCTATCAGACTTTTATCTTTTTTTTTTTTCTTTCTTTTTACACCTTTCTTACACCGTTGGAATCTAAAACTGATCTGCTGCTGTCTCTTCCATTCTCAGATACATATACGTACAGAAAGCGAACTGAAAAATTCGCATCGAGATTCGTCAACTACGAATAATATTACTAGATTCTTGTACCAGAATTTGTTTTTCTTTCTTTCTTTTTTTTATAGTACAAACGTAGCGCAGTTACGGAGTATCGTGACAAAATATCAACGTATCGTTCGCACTTGTAGTTCAATTTCAACGATATTCGCAACGCCAACGACATCGGACAGAGATTTGTTGTCACCTTGCTTTGAGGTATATTTTAAAACACGAGACACAAGACACGAGCGTGTGTATATCGGCGACGTAATCTTTGACGAGCGTGAAAATCGTTACAGAGAAATTCGGCCGACGCTGTGGAAACCGCGCGAAATCGAATCCGGGCAAATATACGTAGGAGAAAAGAAACACCGTGGTCGTGTTATTGGTATATACGTACATATACATATCAGCCCAACCAAGGACAAAGGTTATGAGGGAAAATCACAGCGCAACAGTGTAAAATGTAATTCTCCAACACTATTGATATTCGTATTTCTGATATTTTTCAAACTTTACAACGTTTCATTAACGAGATACATCTGTCTGGAAATATGTAGAAAAAAATAATTACGCATTTCTTACAACATGGCATAGTAAGCCGCACCTGTCTGTTTGTATGCTCCCCGTCTGCCATCCTATCTCTATCACGTTACTTTCACACATCGA